CTTTCCCTCCTTCTTTCCTTCTCTTTCTTTTCCTCCTTCTTTCCTTCTCTCTCTTTCTTTTCCTCCTTCTTTCCTTCTCTTTCTTTCCCTCTTTCCTTCCTTCTTTCCTTCTCTCTACTCTCTCTTTTCTTCCCTCTTTCCTCCTTCTGCAGCCCAACTCTAGTGAGAAGGGGTTTAAACTTTAAATCACTTCTCTCTTCGCTCCCCCCCCCCCTTGCAGGCCAGCTGGGGAAGGGAAGTGGAGGCTTTTGAAGATGCCTCCCCCCCTTTGCTTCCCCATCGGACATCACTTCCGGTGATGGCAGGGGGTGTGGCATATGCTAATAAGCTATTATGCTAATAGCCGAGTAGTTCATTAGTATACCTTATGCTAATGAGCTCCTGCGGCTCTTTTTTTACGAAATGACCCCTGGTTAGAACTATGACTGGGGGAGGGTTTTGAGCATTTTTAAAAATTACATGTTCAGCTTTAATGTTAAGCCAAAAATTACAAGATTTGAATTGCATGATAGATTTTATCACATGTCAGTGTAGCAAGTCAAACTAGACTTTGATTGGCCTCTTCTGTAAATCTTGAGAAGTATGCTGTATAGTGGACAACCTTCTAACATTTAAACCCTGAGGAAGTCATAAATTACATGGAAATCATTGAGGGGTTGTACCCAGTATCTACTTCACTGTACCCAGGTATTCTCGAAATAGTAGTCCATACAACAGACATATGGGGTTGGATCCTATCTCCAAAGTTTGAAGTCCTTCTCCAGCCTAAGGAGCCTTCTTCCAGCTTAAGTGGTTCTTCTGTAAGAGGAAGGCTCTTGAGGCTGGAAGACTATTCCTTGGAGGGTGGCCAGATCCACTCCACTGTCTTTGAACATGACACTTTTAATGGGCCTGAAGCACGTCATGAGAGAAGAAGGTATACTACGACAGAGCAAGGAATAGTTTTAGGATCATGTAGGATAATTTTAGGATAAAAAATTCATCCACTTCTTGTTTACCAGTTTGTCCCCATCAGTGTAAAATAGCTTGCCAGTATTTTATACGCTTGCCATTAAACTTGCACAGGGAAGTCTTTCCCATCGGTCATTGTGAACCAAATTAATAAGCATGGTTTTCAGTCATCCATTCTTATTTGCTGCTTCCTTGGAGGCATGGCAGAAAGGGAAAAATCAGCATTCCTTGAGGTACTGGAGGAAGCATGAAAGTCTTTTCCTTACCCATAAGCACCTTTCTGAGGTACTATGATAAGATAAAATCTATTTATTTATTATATCCATCTATCCATCTTTCTGAAAATTTGGCACCATTCTTTGTCCCACCATTATTCCAGGGAGATTGTTTCCGAATTTTATTCTAGTAAAATTTACAGACATAATGGCAAACTAAATTTTTGTGTGGATCCTATCTAGCATGAACAGAGTTGTGAACAGATAGAGTACTTTCTTGGCTTTCCTTGTGGCTTGCTGTGTCCCCTGAAATCGTGCCCCCAAGGTTCAGTGTCGGTCCACAGTGGAAAATGGTCATTACTAAAAATCACACTTCCCCTTTTAGAGCAGGAATTACGATCCAAGACTTAGGTACTTTGTCAGGGTATTTTCTTGAGTCTTATGTTAAAAATTAAAATATGAAAAATGTCCATGAACAGTTCTGTGGTTTTTGTTTCTTTGTTTGCTTTCAGCGAAATGGAAGTACAGTGAAAAAGGGAAAGAAGAAATGCAATATGCTGTTGGCTGGAGTGGCTCTTTAAATGTCGAAGAAGGGTAGGAATGAAACTAGAAATGTTGTGAATGACAGTATCATCCCTTTTTCTTTACTTTGCTGGTAACACTGTTATCTGGGATATGATCCCAAGGGCTTTGTATGCACAGGCTGTGTATTCTTTCCAATTAAGAAATTGGCTCATTCCTACTTTGCACATATAGGTTCTTGGCTGTGCATGTGCAGATAGGCGCATAGCATTAGAGCTATTAGGTGGGAATCATGATCTTTAAACAATTATTCCACTCGATAATATAATTCTATAAATACATTTCAGTAATATCAACTACACACCAATTATACTGTAGAGAAAAAAGTCACAAAAGTTGAATACACACACAATCTTAGAACATTGTGAAGAAAATGGTGGTACATTGTTGTGGAGTTTATTATTCCAGTACATCACAACCATGGCTCGTCATTCAATAAACCTATTACAAATTGGTGTTAGCCTTCAGTTAATTCTGATACTAGTGCAATATCACAGATCCTTTTACTGACAGAGGAGGCTGCATTTTTTTCCACCAGGAGGCAGTGCATTCAAAAGCTGCATAGATTAAGCCCAAAATAATTTTAAATACCGCTTGGTGAATGATATTTTCAATTAACTCCAGTAAACGTACTTCAGGGTACTGTGGAATATTCCAAAACTATGGAAAAAGCTGTGTTGTTCAGTGCTTGGTGAACTGGCTGACTCTGTGCTGTGCTCTGCTGGCTGGCTGCTCTCAAACAAAGTGAGGCAGAAGAGGGGCAGGGGGTGATTCTCAGACATGGGCACCACCTGCTCATGCTGCTGCTGAGCAAGTGATGTCCATGGCTCGGAAACCACCCAGGATGCCCTGCCTGAGCCTTTGCAACTTAGTCTCGCATGAGGAGCAGGCAACGCGTCCTGCCTGGTTCCAGCCATGACTGCTGCAACAGCAGCAGTGAGTAGGTGGCCTATCCTGGCTGGGTCTGGCCAGAGCTGCCACCAACTCAGTGCTGCTGGGCAGTAACATCTTTGTTAACTGGCATAGTAGGTTAACCAGGAGCCCCCTTTCCCTGTGGATGTCGGTTTAGTATACTTCCAGATATTTCCTATTATTGAGCACTGCCAAAAGAAAAAAAAGTGCAGGCAATCTCCAGGTCCCTGGCAGAGCCAACAGCGATGGATTTTATATATACAGCTAAATTTATAAGGTGTCAAATACTACACACTAAATAATCCACTTTCAGTCCACTTTCCAACTGGAATTTACTGTGTTCGTTCGTTCTCTCTCTCTGTCTCTGTCTCTCTCTCTGTCTCTGTCTCTCTCTCTCTCTCTAGCAAATGTGGTGTTATTGGACTGGAGACGGTTCTAAACCAGATGGCTTCCCAAGCCTCTCTCTCTCTCTACCTCTGCATTTTCATTGCTCCCCCCCCCCCCCCCCCCTCTTTTTTTGGGTTTTGGGAGTGTGTGAAGGTTCTTTTGTACAAACTTGGCTCTGTGATAAAAAGGGAAAACGTTGAGCCTGAACTACTAAGAGAAAGATGTGTATGTATACAGGAAGTGCACACAATTTGGTATAAGAGAATGAGGTACTGTAGTAAAATGCAACAGGGGCCATTCTGAATCTAAGCATAAGCCAGACACTGAATTAGCAATCAGCAGCTCTATCTCACCATTCTATTAAGATTGCCTTTTTGGTTCTTTGTGCAGCAGAGTCTGTCATAAAAGTCTTAATATCCCTTTTTTCTTCCTCTAGTGAATGTGTAAGCAGTGCGTTGTGCATCCCGCTGGCAAGTCAAAAGAGGTAAGAGTAGACTATTTAAACTCTCAAGGAGCCTGAGTGAAAAATAACTGAGTCTGTGATGCAACTGAAAATAACTCCTTTTATTTTCTTTGTACGAGACAGGAGCTCCACAGGCCGGCCTGACTGGACCTGTATTGTTGTAGGCTTCACCTCTGGCTATGTTCGCTTCTACACAGAGGTTAGTTATATTCACTGTAGTTTGACTGCCTGCAGAGGACTGTTTCATAGACCACATGTTTCCTACACAGAGGTAATCGATGGTGCTTTGAAATGCAGACCATCTGTCTGTTGTGGGTTTGCCAGGAAGGCAGTGGTGTATATCAGATGCCTGTTTGTAGGCGGAGAGGCTAGAGACATGTTGCAAAACACCGTGAAGGAAAAACTGTGCAGCGATTACTACAGCATTAGGAAAATGTAACCGGCGAAGTGCCCTTTGGCTTGTAATCTGCTTCCTGCAGAGCACGTTGTAATGCCCCCTGTCCTTTACTCCCCTAAACCCTAGTAATATAGGGATTACGTATTAATGTTTGTCTCTTACCTTTTTAGAATGGAGTACTGCTTCTGGCACAGCTTCTGAATGAAGATCCTGTCCTGCAGCTGAAATGCAGAACTTACGAGATTCCACGGCATCCTGGAGTTACTGAACAGGTACTAGGATTGATATTTTTCGTACAGTGAAATTACCACAAGATACAGGCTGCCTTCCTAAGGATACTTTCCTGAGAGTAAGCCCCATTGTACTGTAAATTGTATCCACTGCTGTTTTTCTTTCGCTATAGGGATTGGTTTCAAGGGCAACACTGAAGTGTGAGGGAGGTGCCCCCCCCCAAAGTGTAGTACTTCCAGCAGGATAGCAAAAATACAAAAGAACGATAGGATAACAAAATAGCTGTTTTACTGATAAATACATTTCTTTTGTTACTACAGAAGTGGTTGACACTCTCCTTAATTTTTTTTTACACAGAATGAGGAAATGAGTATCTTGTATCCTTCTGCAGTTGTGACAATTGATGGTTTCAGCCTATTTCAGTCCCTTCGTGCTTGTCGAAATCAGGTAGCAAGAGGTAATCCCAGGACAGAAGTCAGCTTTACCCATTTTCATTGGGCTTCTAATTGTGAAAGGAGTTAAACTGTGTTACTCCTTGTCAATACTTAAGGGCTTGTTAATAAATTGTTGTGTGTCGAAAGGAAATGCTGTTCTTCGTGGATAATGCTCAGAACATTGCATGGCGGTTCCTACAGGGCCATCCCCATTGGGGCAGGGGTCCCCCGGCTTTCTTTCACTGTTGTTTTAACGTTCTGCTCCAGTAGTGGCCTCTGGTTCTCAGCACACTCTGGATGTCTCATGGCTTGCAACAGACTACATTTGGAGGGGCTGAAGCAGATGCCCTTCCTGGATCAAGGAATTGTTGCCAGTTTGACTTTCCCCCTTGTACAATGAAAATAAACAAATGGCTGTAGAAAAGGAAAAGGAAGAAACCTTTTAAGCACTCAGCGTATTTAGATTTCTTTCCCAGTCTATCTTAAGGGCTCAGAGCTAGTTAAGTTTGGTGTAGTGGTTAAGTGTGCGGACTGTAATCTGGGAGAACCGGGTTTGATTCCCCACTCCTCCACTTGCACCTGCTGATGTGACCTTGGGTCAGTCACAAGCTCTGGCACAGCTGTCCTTGAAAAAGAGCAGTTTGTGTCAGAGTTCTCTCAGCCCCACCCACCTCATAGGGTGTCTGTTGTGGGGAGGGGAAGGGAAAGGAGTTTGTAAGTCGCTCTGAGACTCCTTTGGGTAGTGAAGGGCGGGGTATAAATCCAATCTCTTCTTCTTCTTTTTCTTCCCTGTCGCTTGCCTCAGGCATAGATTGCTCACTCTGATCATAGCATCATAGTGGCTAGAAGTGGAAATGCCATGGCTTTGAGTAAGATAATGAACTACTGAACAATTGTGTGTGACCTCAACAGCTAAGACAGTTTGACAGTATACATATTTTACCAGTCCTGTTCATTGATTTATTCATATGAGGATTATATTCTAGCTAATAATTCTATATAATCTCTCTGCCTTTTTCATAATATGGGCAGCTGCAGCTTCAGGCAATGAGAACGTTCAGCCACCTCCATTAACTTATAAGAAGTGGGGCCTGCAGGATGTGGACACCATAGTTGATCATGTTAGTATTGGTAAGTATTGTCATGTTGGTCATCAGCATTGAATAGTTCTGTTCCATGAGTCACTATATGAGCTGTTTAGAGGATTAATAAGAGAAATAAACACTTACGTAGTACTTTAAAGCACATCTCAAATACTAACAGAGTAAACTTTATGACAACCATGGAAGGTATATCCATATAATTATCTCCGTTTTGCATTTGGGTACCTGGAAGAAAGTTAGTTCAAAGCGGGAGATTCCATACATGGCTATTTCCTGATATAAGAGTCCTATTATCCCTGTGAAAAGGCTATTGGTGCTAGTCCAAGAGGCAGTGGAATAGTAGTCATCACCAGTATTCTCCCCCTGGCTAAGTTATACTATCCCTTATATTGTTATGAGGGCTGTACTGTAGTCCCAGAATTTATGCATTGGTCCTATGCAAATCTTTTGAAACTCACTGAATTCTCATTCTCTCTTTCTCCCCCCCCCCCCCCCCCCGATTAATTGCTGGAAATAAAAGTTTACTTCAATATAAATCATGCTAAATAAAATGTCTATATGTCTATATGTCAGACTGCCATATTTTATAAGGGCACTTATGGTTTAATCCTGTGCCCAGTTACTCCACTGTCTCAACACACATAGATTGGAATTAATTCTGCAGGAGATTTTACTCTTAATTTGCAGATCTGTTTCCTTCCCCTGAACATATGAACATGTTTGGTCCTGATTTCTTGAAAAGTTAATAGAATTTTAGAATCATCCATGCTGTATTTTTTTAAAAAACTATAGGTATCATGACTCTGACAACTTTTGATCAAATGAAGACTGCTTCCAACATTGGTGGATATAATGCAACTATAAAGAATAGCCCACCTGCTATGTCTCAGTACATCACTGTGGGGTCAAATCCCTTCACTGGTTTCTTTTATGCCCTTGAGGTAAGCATGGACTATGAATCGGAAGTTGGGAAAAAGAATATTGTCGTTTCTGATTAACTTGGTCTTTAATCAGTCTCCTTTTTTGCTGACATTCTGAGATATTGGGGGCAGTGGATGGGAGGTGGCAAAGCAGGTTGCTTCTAAAATCCAGTGTTTTAGAAAGTGCAGTGATATGTCTTGGATTTACCTGTCTGTTTAGATACTAGAAAAGAGTGAGAGTCCAGTAGCACCTTAAAGACTAACAAAATTTGAGGTAGACTATGAGCTTTCGTGAGTCACTGCTCACTTCTTCAGATTTTTTCCTGAAGGTATTCTGAGGGTATTTATGAGTCTCTTTCTTTGAAGGAAAAAACTCTACAAATGGCTTTAAAGTAAGAGTTTGGTTTTAAGAAAACGTTCTTCTTTCAATATGATCTTTTGATATATTAACAAAAAGTTCTGATGTGTGTTCATTGAGCATCCACCCAGCATGTCAGTGTTCCACAGTGAATGAATGAAGACATCTTCATTCTTTGGAAAAATTGTTAACCTTTTGCAGTACTTTCATTGCCTGTATCTGACCGTACTTTTTTAAGGGAAGGGGGGCTTTTTAGGCATGATTCATATGTAATGGCAACTATGGTTTATCACTGCATAAACAAGCCTGGAAGATCTTTGAATCGGCACTCTTTTTTTTCCTCTTTGTGTGGGATCAGCTGCTGAAAGACTTGTGCTTTCATGGAAAATCAGAATTTGTCATTACACCCAGTCCACAAGTAATAGTTCACACATTTTCCTGCACATTATTATATAATATGCATTGCAGAGAAGAGCCCAAATCATAATTTATGGTTTTAGCGGGAAAATGGACCTGCAGCAAACCAAAGTCTTACCTCACAGTGTGTTTGGCCGTAGAGGGGGTGGAGGGATGGCATGAGTCGGAGGATCCTCTAAGCTCATTCTCATAGCAATTTTTAATACTGTAGGTGATGGTGCTGTGCTGAATGCCAACTTGAATAGCAAGGTTGCCACAAGGGGAACTACACTCAAGTTGATTTCAGTACAGGAAACGTGTGTGCGTGTGCACTTTCATTAGTTGATGCGATAACTACTGTGTGCAGGGAGCTGATTACTTCATTTGGTCCCTGTGCACTTTATTGGCCTCTCTTATGTATACAGTAAAAATTCTCCTTTATTTTTGAGACATTTATACTCTGCTTTTCTCCCCAATGGGTACCCAAAGTGGCTTACAACATTGTTCTTCCCTCTTCCATTTTATCCTTGCAGCAACAACCCTGTGAGGTAGATTAGGCTGACAGAGAGAGCGTGACCGGCACAAGGTCACCCAGCGACCTTCCATGGCAGAGTGAGGATTTCAATCTGGGTCTCCCTGGTCCTCATACAACATTCTAGCCACTGCACCATACTCAGTGTCTGTGAAATGCATCTGTGTATTTACCAGTCAAGTGATAGTCTGTTCAGTGGCCCAGGAAAGTAGCATAATGTAAATCTGAGGTCCTTCTAGCAAACTTCTACAAGGCCCAGAGACTGCTGGGATCAAAGTGTTTAAGCAGTTGGAATATTAGGTCGTTTGTCAGAGGGAGGAACAAAGAACTACCATTTCCTTGTACTGAAATGACGTGAAGTGTAACAGGTCTTTCAAGGTTTCAGTCAGCTGTCCACTGCTGTAGTTGGGCCAATTTCCTGTCAGGGAGCCGCATGCCCTGAGAATAGTAAGGAATCCTTGATTGTTTTGATAATTTATAAACCACTTTTTATCTTTCCTTAGGGTAGTTCACAGCCACTCTTGTCTCATGTTGCTTTAGCTGTTGCAAGCAAGCTGACATCTGCGTTCTTTAATGCTGCCAGGTAATGATGGTCAAAGTAATACTGTCACACAGAACAGAGGGAAATTCTAATGACTTTGCATTTTATGGGTATTTTCTTGAAATTTTGGGCTATGACTGTGCTGATTTTTCTGTTTCTAGTGGTTGGTTTGGCTGGAAGCACAAACAGGAAGAAGAGTCAGTACAGAAACAGAAACCCAAAGTAGAGCCTGCAACTCCTTTATCTGTAAGGCAAGTGTTAATAGGAATTAATGTTAACAGGAATATATTTATATATTTCTGAATGGTCCACTAAAATTTTTTTTGTTCTGGATTAATAAGGCATCCAAATATTTTAAGAGTCTTCAGTCATCTCATCACAGTAGTGAAGCAATAGGAGACAAAGCCCAATCTTGTAGCTGTAGCTTACTACTGCTCTGATTCAGTATTAGACCGCTTCATGTGTGTACTAATGCTGCTTCTTCACCATTCAGTATATCCTCTGTCCCCAGTTTGGTGTAGTGGTTAAGTGCACGGACTCTAATCTGGGAGAACCGGGTTTGATTCCCCACTCCTCCAGTTGCAGCTGCTGGATGACCTTGGGCAAGCCATAGTTCTGTCAGAGCTGTTCTTGAAAGAGCAGTTCTTGAAAGAGCTCTCTCAGCCCCGCCTACCTCACCAGGTGTCTGTTGTGGGGAGGCGAAGGGAAAGGAGTTTGTAAGCTGCTCTGAGACTCCGAGTGAAGGGCGGTGTATAAATCCAATCTCTTCTCTTCTTCTGTGAATCAAGTGCATAGGTTAGTTCACAGTGGCTGCTCGCTTCCACTGTGAGCATTAGCAGGTTTGTGCATGAGTAGTGGTTGTGTGTAATGTGTTGTGTCTTAAAAACATAAGTGTTTGACGAACATGCCCATAAAGTTCAATGTGATTTGATGCAGCAAAACATGCAACATTTTTACTATTGATGCTTTTCCTGACTGCTATACTTGGAGGGTGTTTTCGAAAAATGAGGTATTAATTTGTATCTGCTGAACTCGTGTACTGTTGACAGTTGATGTTCTTACCTTAATTTTTCCTTAGTGCTGTTTGTCTGAAGTAATCAAGCATATCATTTCTGAACATTATTTTATACTTTTAGTTTTGTTTGGTTATAGGTTTGGAATTCCAGATTCCCGCCGTCATGGTGAGAAGATATGCCTTTCTCCCTGTAACTCTTTGGCAGCAGTAACCGATGATTTTGGAAGGATTCTTCTGTTAGATGTTACAAGAGGACTGGCTATTCGCATGTGGAAGGGTATGACAGCATTGGTGGACCATTTTTTTTTTGGGGGGGGGAGGTGAGATGGTAGCTATGCATTTTAATGAAGGTGTTTAATTTCATTTTTGGCTCATTTAATTGTATCATGGTGGTTATTGGTAATGTTAAAAAGTAGATATTCTGATTTAGAAAGTATTACAAAGAAAGAATTTTTGAAATAGTAACTCCTATAGTGGGATACTTAATATCTCAAGCTGCTTCTTCATGTGTTTGTAGGTTTACACGGACATACACAGATTTTTATTTAGAACATATCCCACCTTTCCATAAAACTGGCCCACTTTGTGGGCTGTGAATAACAGATACGCAATAAAATCTCTCAGAAGCAACAGCTGAAGTATTTCTAAGAACCTCAGTAGAAGACAGCACCAAAGGAACAGAGGAGTCCTCACTGGAGCTCACCAGGGGTTCAGGCAATGACAACCACTTTAATCTGCTGTGGGAGGTGCCAAATAAATAATGTTTCTGGGATGGGTAATCAACAGGTAGGGGGTGTCCAGTGAATGAGGGTATTACAAAAAGGCAGGTTTGTTTTGATGCACAGACATCCAATACCCTCTTTCTTCCTCACCACCTTTTCATATGCTGGAGGCATATACGATGTGGGCAAATGGGTGAGCTGCAAAGGTGTATCAAGGGGGGATCTGTGGCAAAGCTTCTCACTTCTCATACTGAGAAGGGGTGGAAAGCCCATTGCTCAGTGTTGTTGACTGAGGAGCAAAATACTCTGCCCATAGCCTGTTCATACTGTGCAGACGCATTTGAAGATCAAAGAACCTTTGGGCTGGGGTTTTTGGTGGGGTTTTTTGCCCACAAGCCAGTGTAGCTAGCCTTTATGCTTTTCTGAATTTTTAAATATGACCTTGAGTGAAGAATATTTTTTAATCATGGCGAGTGAAGGGGGGCGTGGTACGATGGTGCGGGAAGCAACTGTTCTGACAGTTCCTTTGTCGAAAGAACAATATCAAGTGGGGTTGGCATAGCTGGATGATGAAAGTAGGGTGCCCAGATTGCAGCCCCTGAGGGTGGGTGAAGCTTGGAAGGAAGAAGGTGCTCTGTGGAGAGTGGCTCTGGCTTTGCTCCCCAGCCTCATTGTGCTGGGCCTGGAAATGGCCGCCTTGCTCCTTCCTTGTTGATGCCACTGCTGTTTTTAGTCAAAGGAACACAGCAGTGTGATATTATGCACATGGTTTCGCTCTCACTTAAATGTACTTCTTAAAAGCCTGGAATGTGGGTTGCTTTGAATGTTTGACTGCTCAGTAATTCTTACGTGTAGGACAAAGCATACAACACATGCAAGATAGATCAAGATGGGTAGCCGTCTTAGTCTGTCCGTAGCAGTAGAAAAGAGCAAGAGTCCAGTAGCACCGTAAAGACTAACAAAATATGTGGCAGGGGATGACCTTTCATGAGTCACTGCTCACCCTGCCACATATTTTGCTAGTCCTTAAGGTGCTACTGGACTCTTGCTCTTTTCTGCTGCACGTGCAGAGTTTTTGTATGTGTCTGGCTTGATGTGGATACACAAATACAAGTTAAAATTGACTTGTAACAGCAGAGGCAGGAGTCCTGTGGAGTTGGGGGAGGGCGGAAGCAGTGAGCATGGCAGTAGAAAAGAGGTCCCAGTGGGGTTGGCAGGGGAAACAGAGGAAGAACTGAGCCTTGCTGGTCATGCGGAAGCAGACACTCCTCACGCCCAGCTCTGATCAGCTGATGTCCACTGTTTGACTTAGCAGATCCAGTGGCAGCACATTCAACCAAGAGAACTGCATGTGGTGTAAGCAAGTTAATGAAGTCCTTTACTTTTATTCTCAGGTTACCGTGATGCACAGGTTGGGTGGATTCAGATTGTGGAAGATCTTCATGAAAGGGAAGCTGAAAAGATGGATTTTTCTCCTGTTGGCAGTTCTCAGGGGCCAAGCAGAGTGGCTCAGTTTCTTGTGATTTATGCTCCCAGAAGAGGAATTCTGGAGGTGTGGAGCACACAACAGGGTCCAAGGGTTGGAGCCTTCAATGTAGGGAAGCACTGCAGGTAAAAACTAAGAACAGGTGGAAAAAGAAGCACAGAATAACAGTGCAGAAGAAGAGTGGGATTTTTAATAAAAAATTACTACTTTTATACTCCAATTTTGTCTTCACTGTTGATCTTTTCTCCTCCATTTTGTTCTTACAACAACCCTGTGAGGTAGATTAGACTGAGAATATGTGACTGGCCTAAGGTCAGCTAGCAGGCTTCCATGGTGGAGTGGAATTTAAACCTGTCTTCCCCAAATCACAGCCTGACACTAAACGTGACATTATGCTGGCTCATAAAGCTACAAAAACAAAAATGGAGGTTTAACAGCCAGCCAGTGTTCTAGGGAGTACACAGGGTTTAAATGGAGCATCTAAAGATGCAGTTATTCAAAGCAGCCTTTTCAGTGCAATCACAACCTTAACTTGTTCTAAAAAAGACTCCCCACAAGTTCATGCTTTTCAGGATTGGGTGAGATGTATCTCTATAGTCAAATATCTCAAATTTGTGCTTATCATCTCTGTTAGGTGCTAAGATAAAGGTTTCCCTTGCTGAAAGCTAGTTGAATCCAACTCTAGGGGGCAGTGCTCAACTCTAGGGGGCGGTGCTCATCTCCGTTTCGAAGCCAAAGGGCCAGCGCTGTCTGAAGACGTTTCCGTGGTCATGTGGCTGGCATGACTAAACGCTGAGACACACGGAACACTGTTACTTTCCCAGTGAAGTGGTCCTATTTATCTACTTGCAATTTCTTGCTTTCGACCTGCTAGGTTGGCAGGAGCTGGGGCCAGAGACGGGAACTCACTCCGTCACGTGGCACTAGGGTCTCGAACTGCCAAACTACAGACTTCTGGTCTGTAGCTCAGTGTCTTAACCTCTGAGACACCGCGGCCCCTTCTGTTGGGTGGTAACTTGTTATAAAAAGGAGTTGAACCTATTCAGGTGACTGAAGCAAGTGTTTTTGGTTTTTGTCTCCATTTGTTAGGTTTGTGCTTGTATAGGTTTGTGCCAGTTTGGTGTAGTGGTTAAGTGTGCGGACTCTAATCTGGGAGAACCGGGTTTGATTCCCCACTCCTCCACTTGCACCTGGCTGGATGACCTTAGGCAAGCCGTAGTTCTGATAAGAGCTGTTCTTGAAAAAAGAGCAGTTTCTGTCAAGAGCTCTCTCAGCCCCGCCTACCTCGCAGGGTGTCTGTTGTGGGGAGGGGAAGGGAAAGGAGTTTGTAAGCCGCTCTGAGACACCTTTGGGTAGTGAAGGGCGGAGTATAGATCCAATCTCTTCTTCTTCTTCTTCTTCTGCATGTAAATTAAGAATTGTGTTCAGATGCAACTGTGCCTTTCAGTGTCATAGAAATGAAAAAAAACCCTTGAAAAGTATCTATTTGTGTGCTAAAAAAACTAAACATTGGAGGGAGGGATGCACAAAGAGGTATTTTGAATTTTCTTTCTGTTTTGTTTGTTTCCCTGTGAGAACTCCTTGGTATTTTCTTGGGGTTGCACATGTGCAGGTGTATGCAAAAGAAAACATTTTCCCTGGTGTTTTCTGTCAACACAGATATAGGGGGAAGAACAGGGTAAAATTAAGCTCCAAGAACTATGAACTGCTCATTGGATTTCATGCCAATCAGGTTTCAGTCCGAAGAGCAGTATGATGGGGGAGGACCAAGATTCAATTGGGAAATTGCCCTAATTACAATTATCCCTTGGTATTCACTGGTCTGGTGAAAAGTATAAGTATGAGGGAAAACAATATTTGCATGAGGGAAAACAATATTTGTAATGCTTCTTGTTCATTTGCACCATGTCCCTGCCCCAAGGCTCTAATTTTCACTCTAATTGTTAAATTTGTGTTTCAGGTTGCTGTATCCTGGCTATAAAATAATGGGCCTGAATAATGTCATAAGTCAGGGCTGGCAGCCTCAAACGTACCAGATCTGCCTTGTTGATCCAGTGTCAGGAACAGTAAAAACTGTTCATGTACCTTTCCATTTAGCCCTGAGGTAAGGCATATTAAATGACAACTACTGTATAGCTGAAGCAATTAATGCAGCCTTTTCTTAGAGTCTGGGGCAAGGGATGCACTGTATTCTTTGTGCTTTGGGGGGGGGGACAACAATGGGAGGGCTCCTAGTGTCCTGGCCCCACTGCTGGACCTCCTGATGGCACCTGGTATTTTTGGCTACTGTGTGACACAGAGTGTTGGACTGGATGGGCCATTGGCCTGATCCAACATTGGCTTCTCTTATGGTCTTATGCTGTCTGTGTGCTGTCAGATAAACCAGCAGGTTCCTCTGCTGTTTCAAAGAAGCACTGAGGTCATTCTCAGAGTCTACCAGATGTGTAGTTGTTGCTACATTCATGCTGTGGGAAATCCAGACTTTTTGAGATGCTACATTTTCTCAGCACTCAAGACATAACTATCTTGCTGAGGGGGAAATGAAGTCTGTTTTGCTCACCTAGCAGGTCCATTGCTATTAGTGAATAGTGGAATATTGTGTTGTTGGATCACCAGAGATGAGCAACACAGTTTCCTCTACAAGGTTATTGTTTGAACTTTCAAAACGGCATAGTAAGTATTTGCTAATTTCAGGGACTGAATGTTCCCCCATAGAGTTCACAAATAAATCTTCTACAAAAAACAAGTGGAAGTCAATAGAGGCAGAAGACTTCTGAAAACTGGATGATGAGAGAAGCAGGAAAAGAATGCTATTGCTGTCGTGCTTTGCTTGTGACTTCCTAGAGGCACTTGTTGGGTTGGTTTTGGAAACCGAGTGCTGGATCAGGTGGACCTTGGTCTGATCCAGAAAGGCACTTCTATTTCCCACCCCCACCCTGCTATAATGTCATAGAATGTTTCCCCCCTAGTTTGACTAGTTCTTTGAAGGTAATGTGCTCCCCTTTCTGTCACTGCAATGCACATGAACTCATTTTGTATTCAAACAATTTCACTGTCTGCTTATTTATAATCTCTTACAGTGATAAGAAAAGTGAACGAGCAAAAGATATGCATCTAGTGAAGAAGTTAGCTGCTTTGCTGAAGGCTAAAACGTTAAATCTTGGTAGGGGTTTTTTTTATAACGATTTCTGTCTTGTCTTTATGAGGGTTACAGTAAGCATGGAAGGAAAAGGGCTTTTATTTATTATTTTTGGCTCAGGTGATTAGTTGGGGTTGCATAATACTCATGTTTCATTAATTTTTAGTGGGAGTTACGTAATATTCATGTTTCATTAATCTGTGCTGTGTTCTATGTCGGATTCTTCCAGAGGGCAGTTAGAGAAATCTTACCGTTCGTTAGCACAGCCACATGGTAGTTCATAATCTGCTGAAATTGCTTGAATTGGACCACATGTTCCATAAATATTCTCCATTTGATTTTTAATTAAGCAGGCCCTGTCAACTCTGTTTCAGTAAGCAACATGTTGACTTTCACAAGCTAATTTGAAATAGCAGTTTATCTCTTTTAAACCCCTAGCGGAAGTCAAGCCATGTGTGTGACATGTTCTGGCAGCCCCTTGTATCCGTTCATGGGAAATGCACCTCGCCCACCCATGAAAGCCTCAGGAAATGGTCACATGCCAGGATACAAGCTTGACATTGCCATCCTAAGAAGAATTACACCCTTCTGAGCCCATTGACTCCAGTGTACTTAGAAGGGTGTAGCACGGTTTAGGTTGGCACTGTAAATCTTCTTTAATTTGACTTAGGGCTGGACCAGTAGCTAGGGAAGGGGGGCTAGCTTAATTATTTGCAAACTTCATGTGTGTGCACACATATCAAGTGACTTATTCCCTCTAGTGACTATTAGGGAGGCTCTGCAAGAGCACTGTCATTGTCTCACTCTGTTTGATGAATATAATGATGTAAATAAATAGTATTTATTTAAATTACTTTTGCTAATTCTCTTGGTAATTCACTGTATTCTCTTTGTTTCCAGATGTGGTAGAAGCCGAAGTGAAGGAATTAATTCTTGATATTAAATATCCTGCTACTAAAAAACAGGTAATTAGCCACTGTGCGTGGCTTGCCAATGGCTTTTTGCATGCTTGCCAGTTCTGCTCCCATGTACAAACATTTAGTTCTTTAAAATGGAGAGAGAGTTGCCATCAGCTTAAACAGTGTATTGCCTTGGATGCCGCCTAGATTACTGTTGGCCCAACTGGGGGGGGGGGGGTAGGTGCTGCTTCCCTGCCCCCACGGGAGACCTCTTGTTCTCCAGAACAGCATTTCAGGTGATGTTTATGGCTGCTGTGGAAGGGGAGAATTGGTGAAAGACTTCTCTTGTGCCAATGGAGCTCTAAGCAGGATCTGACCCACCGTGCTGTTTCGTATGGCTTAGTGGTGAGAGGTGATCTTCTGGACCTACCAAAATGCTTATAGATGGAGAAACTCTTCGCTTTTGACAACAGGCTTTACCTCTCTAGATAGAGTCATTTATCACTTTTAAAACTGCTGTGTTGGGTAATTTTTTCATTAGAGTGGCTTATAGACTCTCCCTTGAATTTATAAATATGCTTTGTGGGATAAAATCAATTTAGATAGTAAGTTCATGACATAGGACTCATTTTGTAAGTATTTTGTTTTACAGTCCTGTTCTGTAACATGTGACTTACGGAGGCTACTTCAAAGCCACCAAAACTTTCAATTCCAAGAGAAGGCAAAATTAAGCAGTGTTGAAAATAGTTCTGGTTTGTATTAGTGTGTGACATCTGTATTAGTTCTTTAATCGTAGCTTGAAATTGAGAAATATTTGTTGTGTTACACATTTATATGTATTTTTTCACTAAGGCTTTGGAAAGCATCCTGGCGAATGAGCGTTTGCCACTCTCTTCTCTAACAACCATCACACAAACATTAATGGATACCTTAAGAAATCAGGGTAAGAGAAAATGTATTTTGGAATAATTAGTTCCGTTACTGGGATCAGTAGTAGAAAATGGAGGGGGGAATCACTTTCTGGTTTCCTTGAAGACTGCTACAAATGTCAGAACCTTCGTGTTTTCATTTGTGACTAGCAGTTATTGGAAAAGTGATTGAATTTCATATAAGATAAATAAGCGGAACCTAGTAAGGAATTGGGGGGGGGGCTCTTTTTTCTTTCCACCCTTCCTTTCTGCAATGAGACGGGGTAGCCATGTTAGTCTGTCTGTAGCAGCAGAAAAGAGCAAGAGTCCAGTAGCACCTTAAAGACTAACAAAATATGTGGTAGGATATGAGCTTTCGTGTCTGAAGAAGTGAGTAGTGACTCATGGAAGATCGTTGTTGTTGTTCAGTCGCACAGTCAAGTCCAACTCTTCGCGACGCTGTGGACCACATCACGCCAGGCCCTCCTGTCTTCCGTCATGCTCCAGAGTTTGCTTAGTTTCAATAACACTGTCTAACCATCTCATCCTTTACCATCCTCTTTTTTTTTGCCTTCAGTCTTTCCCAGCCAATACCCTTCCACATATTCTGTTAGTCTTTAAGGTGTTACTGGACTCTTGCGCTTTTCTATTCCTGCAATGAATTGATAAGAGCAGAAGATTATCCTTTCAGAAAGCTTCCTTCTTTATTAAATGTATTAACTAAAAGATTTATAAACCATCTTTCTCTACAAAATAGGCCTTCGAGTTTAATCTCTCACTGAAACAATTGGGAAGGATGGGAATTGCATCTGCGATGTGACCATTGCAGGGAAGGAACTGGGTTCAGACTGTGCATCCTTCTATGAGCCCAGTTTTCTACCTCCTGTTCAGCCATACTTGCTTTGGCAGCATGGGGAGGCTGAATCCTGTGGTAGCTTTCCTGCTGCAGTGAGGGAGGGGCCAGTGCTTGCATATTGCCTCTCTTCCTAGGGATTCTCTGTGGCTAGGGGAAAGCAAGTTGTCCTATCTTTGTGACTTTTGGAGGGAGACATTGGTGGTCATTCCAGCACCTGCTGTTCAAGGATGTCTAATATTAGTATAGATCCCACCCACCCCCCATTTGCTAACCTGCATTCTTTACAAATAGCTTATGTGGTGGGAGGTTCCGCAATTGTGTAAGTCGCAATATCAGTTATTTGAATATCTTTTTAAATATGAGTTTCTAATGCAAGATGAACTCATTGCTGTGTGTAAATTTGCAGCGAATAGACCTTGTACTCATATTTTATTGCAGCAATTTTCTGTTTATGTGTATGAGGGATTTATAGATCTATTTCTCCCTCTCTGCACTGAAACTGGTACAAAAGTTGAGAGTTATGTAATGAGAGTAATACAGTAGCTTTTGCATTGTATTCTGTATTGCATCCGAAGTGGGCACTCATAAAGGTAATACCCTTTATTACATGGTAATTAAACCGACATCTGGGGAATGAACTAGTGAACTGAATTAACTAAATGTGCTCATTTAGTTAATCATCAGAAAAGGCTAGGAAGTTGCTTGATCTGAGACTTCCAGTTTTGAGGATCATTGATTCTTATGGAGAAATAAGCACGAATGTGCTTATCACATATGGCAGTGTATGTGTGGGATATAAGGTGTTTCCTGCATGAAATATTACTGTGCAAGTAATTTGCTTTGAACATAGGTGCCATAAATGGGAAACCCTTTAAACTGGCATTTGAAATCTTCTGGCTAGCACACGGTTGTTCTCTGTGTTTCATTTGCTGTCATGTTAAAACTGTGTGTTCAGAATGACAGTTCCTTTGTATGCAAAATTCACCCAAGATGGAACTGCTCTGGATTAAAAAAAAAAAAGTCTTGGAATCCTTGTGGTCACTGGAAATAATTGTGTCACAAGGCACAAAGCAATTTCACAGCTTTGGTATGCATTCACTGAGATGAGCATGTGTCTTGATTTCTTTCTGCATCTTTAGAGGGGGAGTGCGTGGATGAAGGGCTGCGACAGTTCTGTGCAAACAAGCTGAAGCTGCTGCAACTTCATGAGTCTGTCAGCAAGATAAATTCTCTGGCCACGCAGTCGGACATGGTGCCGTCTGATAATGTGAGTAACTTGAAGATTTTGTTTATTTGCCAGGGAATAAAATGAAGATAGAGGGGGTACCTCAGCGTGTAGTATGCAGAAAGGAAGAAAACGCGAGGGAAGAACCATCAACGATATGAATGTATTCTGTACTAAAATAAAAATAAATTTATTCAGCGATAGTCTGTTGCATATTTCTATTCTGTATTGAGGTTGGTGGTCACAACCCAACAGTTACTGTCTATAATGTTAGTATGCTCCCTCTACTACTACTACGCCCTCAGATGACATGCAAAATGTGTCCATAGACCTCCCGTGCATATGCGGGCATACCTGGGAAATGCGTATGGCTGTACACCGGCTGCACATGGCTGCACAGTAAATTTCCGCCTTATATCAGCGACATCATTTTGTCACGGGAGGTCTGTGGACACTTTTTGCATGTCATAGAACCACAGAGTTGGAAGGGGCCATACAGACCATCTAGTCCAACCCTTTGCCCAATGCAGGACGTAGTGTAACATCCATACATATGTATTGTGCCATGTTCAAGAGCTATTGTTGTTGTGAAGTAGTGCCTGGGAGCATACTAACATTATAGACAGTAACTGTTGGGTTGTGACCACCAACCTCAATACAGAATTAACGCATTAGCGTGAAATAGAAATATACAACAGACTATTGCGGAATAAATTTATTTTTATTTTAGTACAGAATACATTCATGCCGTTGATGGTTTTTCTTTAGCATTTTCTTCTTTTTTGCAGGAAATAAAATGAAGCATATTTGGAGGTGTTTCAAAAGCATTCCTTTTTATAAAGAAGCTCATATATCCAAGAAATGGTTTCTAAAATGAACCCATACTCTGTCCAAAGCAAGGTTCGGAGCTTGTGTCTAAGTTCTTCATTGTATTTTAAAAACTGAGGTACTTTACTCAGGATCTTGGTATCTGGTCCCAAAGTAGGTAATAAGGGATGCTCCATATAGAGCATTTTCCTATATGGAAACTAAATCCCCCACCTGGAACACTGTGTGCCTGGCTGGAGGTGGATAGAGAACAGTATTAGACATGGAGTAGCAAGATGGGCCCAGGCAGGTATGGGTTTGGGGCTTTTTTTGCTGCTGGTGCCTTGCGGTGGTTGCACCACTTGTGCAATGCAAGTTGTAGCTAGTTAGTTATGGGGGCAGGACATCTGGGGTAGATCAAAGAGGAGGCTTCTGTTTTCCTTTGTGGTCCATATCTGACCCATCCTGCGTCATGACCAACTCCTCACTCAACCTTCCTGTTCTCCAACCTGACTCTTGTGTCGGTTCTCCTTTGTTATGAACCTTCTACCCACAATCCCTGCCACAGAAATCCCTTACATATTGTGAAGACATCCTGGGAGACCCACCTCTAAATATGCAGTATGATGCTGGTACAGGGTGGCAAAATGTATCTGCTGAAGTGTCTATGCACTTGAAAGCTTATACCCAGAATTAAACTTTGTTGGTCTTAAAGGTGCCACTGGGCACAAACAACTTTGTTCCAGTGAACACTGTTAGAGAAGGAAACTTTGTGATCAGTGGAATCAGGTTACAGTGTTTCCACCTCTACTGGGTAGATGTAATCTTCACTGTTCCATGTTTGACTTTTCCCACTTTTAAGGATTTGGCTAAATTACTCAGGTTAGACGAAAAAGAGTTTGCCAGGCTGCAGATGCTCCTGGAGAATTACAAGCTGCAGGACACCCAACTTTCTGTTCATTTTGCGGAAGATAAAGATCGAGCGCTGCCTGTGAAAACTTTCTTAGAGCATTTGGAGTGTGAAGAAGACATAATTGAAGTGAAGAAGCTAGAAGAAAGAGAATATGTGGCTCTAGGTAAGAGTCTTTTGTTGCTAGGTGCTGCCTTGCCATTTATTTATTTGTTTTCACCTTATTTCCTACCAAAGCAATTAGCTCCCTAAGTGGTTTTGAATTAAAAAATAATACAGACATCATTTGCAATATAATTTGGGATGGGATCTTAATCCAGATGTGATGAGCAAGCACCTGGCCTCTCTCTACCTCTTCTTGCTACAGCCTTGCTGGTGGTACTGATGGCCACAGGAATAAACAGCTTTAAAAAAGGATTAGGTAGATTCATGGAGGATAAGTCTATCAGTGGCTACTAGCCATGGTGACTGAGGGGAACCTCCACATTCATAGACACTAAACCTCTTAATCCAAGAACCAGGAGGCAACATCAGGGGAAGGTCTTGGCCTCTATGCCCTGTTGTGGGCCCTTCAGAGGAACTGGTTGGCCACTGTGTGAGACAGGATGCTGGACTAGGTGGACTATTGGTCTGCTCTTGCAGGGCTCTTCTTATTTTCTTATGGTAGGTTGGAGGCAGAATGGAAGGAAGCCTGGCTGCTTCCTCTCTTTTGTCTGGCCTTAATCAGATGGTAGTTGGAAGGAGGGCAACTCTTAGCCAGGGCTGCTTCATTAGTGCTTAAGAAGTGTGCCTCAGTCCTGTGACTTCTTGCAGGTGTGGGGACTCTAATATACACATGGAAGTTCCCTCCTTCCAGGGGAGTCCCTGTTTGTGTAGTGAGTGCTGCTGCCCCATCTATTGAAATGAAGGGTGGAGTTCCCTGTATAAGCACTGGAGTGAACAAGGCACTGTGGCTTCAGATGATATTGTGAATGTGATCCTTGTGAGACGGCCCTAAGGGATGCCCAAACTCATGGAAGTGTTTACTGAGCACCTCTCCTTAATCAGATGTGGTGTGTGGGAATAAGTTCAGAAGGAGATGAACCAGCTCTCGTTAGCATTACCTGGTGGACATGTTAGCTGTTCAAATCTCTGAGTGCTGCTTGTTTAGTGGTCCCTGAAAAGGAAGATGTTAGGTTCCTAGAAGAAGGTGAAGCTTCCCTTTTAATGATAGGAACTGTGTTTGGTGTTTTGTCTCTCTCTCTCTCTCTCTGTTTGTATAGGAAGCTTTTTTTTCTGGAAGTGTTTACATGGAGAGAGTTCAACAGAAGAAATGTGCAATATCCTGGTGTCTGCAGGGTTTAGTCCCCAACGGTTACTGGTGAGGAACATGTGATCTTTTAAGGTTTTACTCTTAAAACTGGCTCTTGATGGACCTACTTTGTAGCTGTTGTACCTGATTTCTCATGAGCAGACAAGTCTAAAAGGAAGAGAGATTGCTTAGGGTTAGGGCCCAGAAGATGCTGTGGGGGGAGGTGTGGAAAGAGAAGGCGGCAGCACAACAGGGGGTCGCTTGCCTGTGAGTATGAAATGTTTTTCTGTCCATCATCGATTCTGAGGCGGCAAGTGTAGTGACGGGCGCTGCTGTCGTCTAACAACTCTTCCATTCAGATTGGCCTTGTCTAGTGGATGTGGCTGGTTGAACATGGGACGGGTGCCTCAGCTTGGAATGAAAGTGGGGTTGGCGTGTTGGGTACATCAAGTCTGTATGGGCCTGGATGCTGTGAAGGAAGTGTGTGTGAGAAAGAAAGAAATCTAACCCTTATGAAATAGCAAATGGAAATAGGGCAGGGGGTTGTTGCCACAAGTGTTGTGTAGGCTGCGTGTGTGGCATAAACCCTTAGTGGTTTGTTTCCAGTCCCCCTTAGAATTGAGGGCCCCAAATCATCACTGTCATTCAGCCCTGACGTGAATGTGTTTCCACTTTCAAGAGAAGACTTTCTCAAAGCAGGTTATTTTTCCCCCCTTCTCAGTCCCTGCTTCTCAGTGTGTGGCTTTCCAAGGAAAAAGACATTCTTCATAGGACACAGTCCATTTGCTGCCTTCACGCTGCATTGTCTCTTCTGAGCAAAATGACTGGTAAGATGAGCTCACTGGATGGAAATAAGCCAACGCCTATTCTTTGAAAATGTGCCGTTGCCCTGACTGCGTTAGTCATAATTAAAACTCTGAGCAAAGCCAAAGTTAGTGTTGCGTTAAATGCATTTCAGAATAAATGAGCCAGTGAATCAATTTAGAAGCCTGCTTTAGGGAGACGTGGGGGTTTAGCTGCGTTCTCATTACAGTATCAAGAAGACCTGCACTTTTGCATGATGGTATGCAGCAGACCTTTTGAACAACCAGTTGAACTGCTGGTGGAAACTTCATCTGAGCTGCTGTTTCCCTCTCCTGGTCTCAGGCTAGTGTTAGGTTCAAACACTGGCATAGTATTGCAATAGCAAGATAAGCTCTCTGGAGCCTTACACTAGGGGGCAATTGAAGGTTATGTCTGCTAAAATCACCCCTGCCTGTCATCCAAATAACTCCTTGGTAGGGGATTGACCAGCATCTTGGTGTTCACCTTCTTAACACCTTGTGAAGAGGATCACAATGTTCCCTGTTCTACTGACAGAAAGAACTGACGGTGCAGTCCTTAGAGGAAGTGAAAGTTGCACCCAGGCCATTCACATCCCTGCCCATTTAGAACACATTTGTGGGTTTACTGAACTGGCTTTTGTAAGTTTCCCTTGCCCTGACTTGGGTGGCCCAGGCTAGCCCAATCGCACCGGATCTTGGAAGCTAAGCAGGGGTGGGCTCTGGTTAATATTTGGGTGGATGACCACCAAAGAAGTCCCGGGTCACGGTGCAGGGGCAGGCGATGACAAACCACCTCTGAACGTCTCTTGCCTTGGAAACCCCACGAGGGGGTCGTCATAGGTCAGCTGCGACTTGACGGCACTTTCCACCTCCTCCACCACCAAGGCTTTCTAGGTAACCCAAATCCCTCTGCTCTCCCCCTTGCTAAAGTCTGCTTGGGCTTCAGATGTTGCTTGCACAATTCTGCTGGCCAATTTGTGACTTCCTCTTTTCCCCAAGAGCTTAACAACTCACTCTGATTTCAGATAGTGGGCTTTAGTGGGGTGGCTCTGACCTTCCTCCAACTTAACAGTGCGATCCTAAGCCATGCTAAGTGCCCCAGAGTCAGTGGGCTTCAAAGCGGTGTAACCCTGCTTAGGATTGCACTGTAAGGAGAGTACACTGCAGGGAAGTAGTAGAATCCGCTCAGTGGTTCTAGAGCAGGGGAGTCGAACTCATTTGTTACGAGGGCCGGATCTGACATAAATGGGAGTGGACCTTCTCGGGCCGGGCCATGTGTGTCATAAAATGTAATGCCAGGTAGCGGAGATATAAACTTTATAAAGGACACAAACACAAATTTTTTTTTTACTTAAAATAAAAACATGCTTAAAACATTAGCTCTGTAAGCTGCAAACCTACTTTTGATTTATTGACATTTACCACAGAAATTGCATGTTCAGAGTTCTGAGTCTAGGACCCAGGTTAAAACATGAGATGGCTGAGTGATTAAGAGAGTCTGGCGAAGCAAGCTATGATGCAGCAGCAGCATAACTGGAAGGAGGAGATGGCCAGTTCCACTTCGGGCCTGATGGAAGCCCTCTGGGGGCCTGATCCGGCCCCCGGGCCACATGTTTGACACCCCTTTTCTAGAGTGTGCTAGTTAAATTATGCCTAGTTAAAGAACCCATTGATTTGAGTTTTAATCAGTTAGGTGATTGATTAAATTTATATGTGTCAAGTAAGTCTGAGAGTTTATGATTGAGAAGGGGGTACCTGTAGTCTTTTTGCATGGAGCGCAGAAAACTCTGAAGCATTGGCCAGCTCCTAGGCCTGCGACCCAGAGATGCTTTCTTAGAAGAGGTCCTCCTCCTCCTCTTCTCCCTGAGCAGGGAGTGTCTATTCTGCAAATGGCACTGGAGCTTGCTAGTCCTGCATAATGATGCAACGTAATGGCAGACACTGTCCTATAAGATATATTACCTTGTGTGTATGGAAGGTGAGGATATACCACCTCTAAGGCCCAGTTCACACATGCAGGAGGAGGAGGTGGTAGAAGGGAGTGCTCCACTTCAGATTGCAGGTCGAGGATCACATTTTTCAATGTTCCCCCCATGTAAAAAAAACCCTGCAGATGCAAAGCCACCACAGCAGTTGGAAGGGAAGCTGGGTTGAGCCCTGCATGGAATTTTGTATCTGAAGGAAGATTCATGGCTTGTAGTCTGAAGGGGTACAGTTCATTCTGTCACCTCATTCCCACTTTGTTACCCTGCATGTATGAACCAGCCCTAAGACTGTATTTTCTGCTCATAATTTTTGTTAAAAATTCAACATTTCCTTTTTTTAAAGAACTTCCCCCCTCATTAATTGGGGCCACTACTTGATCTCAGGATTTTAAAATCACTTAGTATAATGTATTCACTGAACTGCATGTCTACAGAACTGTTGTGTCGTTGAGTTTGCTGGCTTTGATTTAAGAAAAAAGATTTCTTTCTGTTTCAGACTGTACTTGGGTCTGCTAATTTTAGTTCACAATCTGTGTTTCTCGAGTCTCTCCTTTTCTGTTTTAGTAGCTATTGACGAGTCGTGGGATTCCCAGTCAGTCTCCCCCTGGTGGCAGCAGATGCGCACAGCCTGCATTCAGTCAGTAAATAACGGAGCTGCCTTATTATCAGCTCACGTCGGGCATTCTGTAACAGCACAGATAACTGATAGCATAGCGGAGAAAAAGGTAAGTAATGCTTAGCTTTCTTTACCTCGGGCATATAGAATCTGATACCTTCCTAGAAGAAAACTGACCTTGCTTTCACTTAGCAGTATCCGGAACACTGACTTAAGGGATTTTAGATTCACAGTGATCTGGAAAGTAATGGCCAAAGTCCCATTTGTGGTGTATGTATGATGAATGTGTGTATCTCTAAAGGAGCATAAAGAAAAACCACGTGTTGCAGGCCCTTGTCTCTTTCTAGTATCGGTGGAATAAACAGCAGCCCTGACAATTTCCTGTAGTTTCTCAGATGTGTTCTCACTGTTTCATTTTAGGGTAAGAGATTACTTTAAATAGATGGACAGTTGCCCAGAAAAATCTCTGAACAAGTTTAAGTCATAGTTAGTTTTGATACGTATATTTCTATGGGAGATTTCTTTTCAGAGGAACTTCATACTATCAGAAGTGACAAAATTGAAGGCTTTGTTGTGGTCATGTGAGTTTCGCATAATTGGGCCTGTATATGGTAGCCACAACCAAGATACCCCTGAGTCTTTCAGATGTGGGTTGCATAAGATTATCTAATATTTCTGAAAGTGCTTTGACATGAATCTCAGAAACTAGATTTTACCTTTTAATCTTAAAATAGAGAGGACAAGGGATATGTATATATTTCTATTTCTGTATTGAAAGTTAATACAGTTAAGAGTTTGCAATCTTCTCTGAAATGCTGGGTGATTTGGGGAAAGAGGGAGATGACGATGTCATTTCCCTACTTCTGACTCTTTCAAAAATGGTAGCAAAAGTTCATACACCTAAACATATGTTTATGTCATGTCTTTGTTAGAGGATGACATTTCTGTTTAACTTAGGGGATTTCTGTCCCATATTTCTGTTACCAGAATAACACACGAGGTGACAAACAAGTAGAACAATGAATGAAAGCTCATAAAACTGCAGCAAATCAGACAAATAAATAACAAGCAATAAGACCACAGAGAGCATAAAATCAGCAGCCAACAAAATGCTTCACAAAAAGTGAAGTGTCAAGCAATAGAACTATTGAAGGTTCTCAGGAACAAGATGGTTTACCTGTTTCCGGAAGGTCATAAGCAAGGGACTGAGGTGATCTTCTCGGTGCAGGGAACTCTACAATCTGGGGGACGGCCTTAGATGTTCTGCTCCCTATGCTTATCAGCTGCAACTCTCTTGTTGATGGCATGCAGAGCAGGGCACCAGATGATGACTTCCTATGGATGGGCGAGGACCTTCATGTACCCTGGTCCAGAGTCGGGCTTGGAAGCAAAACAGCAGCCATTGCAGCTGATACAACAGTGGAGTAACGTAATCACCACAGGACATTACAGTCAGGGCAAAAGTCTGGAACAAGCCCATTGCTGCCACATTCTGGACCAATGGAAGGCTTTACTGATAACGTTTCTGATTGCTTTAGCTCTGTGCTTCCTCTCCAAGGGGCGCTTTTTTTTTTAGTTGTACAACTAAGATGTTTTGGTGTCTGTCTAAAACTGCAATCTGTGCATGTGACAAATGTGTGTATTTTACAGGTCAGGGAGCTGCGTTTGGCTGCAGCTGTCTGTTCATTGTGCATTCAGCAAGCTGCTCTGCTTTTGTGTAGTGTGTGAAAAGGTCATAAAGGAAGGAGCGGTATATAAGCAGAATGAAATAAATAAATAAATAATAACCTACCAAGGGTGCTTCTTTAGGTGAACGACAGAGATCACAGATCATTCTCCTCTCCCCCCCCCCCCAGTTTTCCCAGATAGCTGTAGGCGCTGACACAGACCCTTGGGAAGCGCTCTCCCTTGATACGGAATACTGGAGGCTTCTGCTGAAGCAGTTAGAGGATTGCCTAATACTTCAGACCCTCCTGCATAGTAAAGTGGGCGGCAAGAAAAGAAGCCAGGCGTCCTCTGCGCAGACTGAGCCACTTGGCCGACTCTCTGTAAAGAAGCTGCTTGAAGGAGGAAAAGGTGAGGTTGCCAGAAGACCTTGGGCATTTGTGTTCTGCTTTCGGCCCTTACACAATACCAAATTCTGTGGCTTGTACATGGACTAGCACTTTGGAAGTGTCCAGCGAACTGCTCTGTTTAAGTTACTAGCAGTGAGATTCTAGGCAAAGAATCTTAAGTCCACCGAAGTCAACGAACTTAAACAGTGTGTTTTTCTTTTGGATTGTACTGTAAGCATTGTGTGTGTCATCTTAGATCTGTGCTTTGTTCTTCAGTGTAGAGCTTCTGTTCCTTTGTATTGTGTGGCCAGCATTGAAGTGATAAAAAAGGAAAGGAGCAGAAGTCTGTGAAACCGAGTTAAGTGACTTTTTGAAGCATGGTGAAGATTTTTGTGTGCCTTCAGGAGTAGAGATGTGAAGGCCCGGAAAAAAATCCAGAAAAATTCTGAAGCCTTTTTGTTTTTTTCCGAAAAATTGGAAAAAGAAAAGAAAAGAAATTGATTATGGAACGTTTTATTTTAACATGATGAATAAAATATTTTAAGACAAGGTGTTCAAATATTTTCCCAATCATTTCTAAAATATCTATATATGGTATCAGATTGATCTAATATCTGTGCACTGAGGACAAGCAAGTCCTAGGTTACAAACTGAACTCTCCAATGGAAGAACAAGATGCATTTCTTCCTTTAGGAGGTCCGATTGTCAGAAGAAAATAAAAAAGTTTCAGTTTTGTTTTTGCATGTGGGTGGGTATTCTGTCTGTAATAATTGTTTGGATACACTATATTTTTAATATGCTAGTTGTGATAATTTCATGCCAAGTAAAAATGTCCATAGTCATATTTTATGTTCCTAAAGTAACAGAATGACTTTCAATCTAGAAAAGACAAAAGAAATGCTCATGTAGCATGTTTTTCAATTTTTCCGAAAATTTCCGTTTTTTTCCGAGCTTCAAAATTTCCAGAAATTTTACATCTCTACTTCAGGAGTCCTCTAAAGCTGTCAGTAGACACCTGCTTATAGCAGAAGTGTCATGGGATGGATAGGAATGGAGTGAGAGGCCAGAGAATGTTTCTTTGTTTATAACAATTTTGAACACACGATCATTAGAACTTTCTGTCTGAGAAGAGAAACTCCGGCTATCAAAATTTCAGTCAAACGGAACATCTAAGTAGACTTCTGTCATAGCAACTGGAATACGAAGATAACCTTTTATCTTCTGGTAGTTCAGACTGAAGAGTTCATTTGTTTGTAAATCAGTTTAAACAGAAATCCACATCCATAATCTGTGTCTTTACACTGACGGACTTGCCCCAAGCTTTTGTAGCAGTATCTGAACTGGGTAAGATATATCTCGGCATGAGAAGCAGTTGGGATAAAATGTGTTCAAATGTGAATAATTCACATGGCTGGGAATCAGATGGCAGTTGTCTGTAGTGGTCTTAATTAACTGCAAGGGGATAAATCTCTCATCTGGGATTTGTGTCAGTAGTTGATGTGGCATGTGGCCTTGCACATCTGCCAGCAAAGTAAAAGAGGAAATAGGAGGCACAGTACATTTTGAATTTATCCCTTGTTTGCAATTTTTTAATGTTGTCTTCTAGAACAATAAATTGCGTGGAATCGTATGAATCACAACTGAACTGAATATAGCAGAACGTTCCCTTCGAGCAGTTTGCTATGGGGCAGCCCTGACATCTGCAGAGGGGCGTATCTCCTCTGGCCCTTTCCCCCCAGCTCCATGACAGATGGACCATGCAGAGTTTCAGAAAGAATAACTGCCAAGTTACTTGAATGAGGAAGTGGGAGATGTACATGCAGGAAACAGCAGTACCACACTTCATCAGAACCTTTATTTCCACTTTTCAGGATGATACAGACGATCAAGTTAACTCAGGTCGAGTTTATTCATCCTGAGGCAGGCTGGTTGTCTTGCTTACAGATTTCTGGAATGAATTCCAGTGCTTTATTTTTCAGTGGAGTGCTCACTTCGGCAGCACATATACTAAAATTGGAACGGTACAGAGAAGATTAGCATGGCCCCCGCACAAGGATGACACACAAATTCGTGAAGCGTTCCATTTTTTAAAAAAATTTCAGTGGAAAAATTTCCCATTTCGAAAGATTCACTGAGTCTTAATACCGATGAATGGATGCCATTGTCAATACAATGTTAGGCAAGCATGTCAGTTTCAGAGTTGCAATTAGGAATTTAAGAGACTACAGGTATGTTTTATTGTTAATGGGAATAAGACTGCAAATACATACAGCAATCCAAGTAAAAATCCAGTTATAAATTCCCTTGATTGACTGTGCAGGTCAAATCCAAAGCAGAACTTCAATTGTTACTTTTCTTTTCTTGTACATGGCAGAAGAAATATTGTAATCCACCTATCTAATATGGAACTAACAAGTGACTTTATGGGAAATGATGGTGAAATGGAGGTAGCCCAGTGACCTCCATGGAAGGTCATGAAATACATGAGCGGACAGTCATGCCTGTGGCATATCATGCACAGGTCTTTGGGTGTGCTAAAGTTTGTATGCCAACAGTTTTCGGTGGCTTCCCCCTTAGCAATTAAAAAAAAACCACATCTTTGAATTAAAAATACTCTCTCCCCACCTTCACAAGAGATCTTGAGGGAAATCTCCCATTTCTTGTTAGGAGGAGCACTATAAGTGGCAGAATGTAATTCCTTAGTTTTCTTTTCGGGCTTTATGGTGCAAGGATGGGATCATAAATGTTGAATGTGAAACAGTTGTGCTTATGTCATCCTCTAGACGTTTGTGAGTGTGCATTTGCTTATATGTTTGTATATGTACCAGAGGAGGGTGATGTATGTAGTAGGAGAGGCCCAGCTACCAGGGGGCATCTTGCCCTGACAGCCCTCCCCCCCCCCCCACCTGGACCCATCTTGGAGTGTAGGAACCATCCTAGGATGGAAATGCCTGAGGACTTGTGCAAGAGCCATGTGTCAAAAGGTTTCCCGTGCTCGAAAGCCAGTCGAATCTGACTCTAGGGGGCCGTGCTCATCTCCATTTCCAAGCCGAAGAGCCAGCGCTGTCCGACGACATTTCCGTGGTCATGTGGCCAGCATGACTAAACACCAATGTGCACGGAACGCTGCTACCTTGTCACCGAAGCAGTACCTATTTATCTACTTGCAATTTCTTGCTTTTGAACTGCTGGGTTGGCATGAGCTGGAGACACGAGCTCACTCCGTCATGCGGCACTCGGGTCTCGAACTGCCACCCCATCATTTGCTGAATCTGTTTGTTTCAGCCCATTTGCTTGGGGAGGGTCACACCAGTCATTTTGGCTATGGAAAGCTGTGGTCCAGTCAACAGAACCCAGTGGTAAAGCTTTTCCTGGTGGGTTCATCTGGGAGCATTCAAACATCCTGCTTCTCCTCTGTAATTTGAAAGGATTCCATCTTACAAGAATTTCAATGTTTGATCATGTTGTATGTATAGACTGGCTTACCCTACAAGATTCTGGGTTTTTTTTTAAACTTTCAGGAGGCATTGCAGATAGTGTAGCAAAATGGGTGTTCAAGCAAGACCTCAGTCCACCGTTGCTTCGATTGGGATGGAAAAAAGAAGATAGTGAAGAAGAACCTCCAGAGATTGGCAGTATCCTTCTAGCTGAGGGTGCGGAAGACCAGACTGGACTAGAAACCATACTAGGTAAAGATAAGAAACAAACTTTGAACACCAAGTGATTTTGGAAATAAACAAAAATG